CTGCTGTAGTAGTGTTTGCACAAACCTCTTGCTGTCCATTTCCACTTCTGTGCCTCCAGCACCGCAGAAAGCCAGAAAGATGCCCGGCGTCATCTCCGAAGGTGTCCAGCAGGAGCCGCGTCTGGAGGGAGCTCAGGGAAGGAGGGACCAGAGGGGCTCTCCTGGGCCTGCGCCCCTCCCCACCACTTCCGGATCCTCCTTCCCAGAGCTGCGTGGGATGCTCCTCTCCAACTGGAAAGATGCCCTGTGGGGTAGCCCCAGTCCCTCTCACTCTCTTTTTTCCCTTCTTAAACCCATTTCTCACCTAAATTACAGAGTGATTTTACACTTTCAAATCTGATCGTATTGTTTCTCCATTTGAACACCTGCTTGGCTGCCCATTGCTCCTAGGAAAAGTCCGGAGTCCTCACCAGGCTCTGCCCTGCCAGAACTGGCCCGTCCACCTCATGCCACTTGTTCTTCCTCCTACAGGCTGCCCCCCTGGAGTGTTCTGGCCCCATCCAAGCCCATGCCCACCCTTTTTGTCTTGCTTCCACCCTGAGTGAAGCCAACAAGGACCACTCAGGGCCTCCAGCAGTTCTTAACGCATCCTCCAAGAGATGAAGAAAGGGAGTGGCCTCGTGTTCCAGATTTTGAATGTTGGCATCAAAGGAGCATGTGTGTGCTGAGTGTGGGGGTGAATGGGACACAGACCCTGCAGCTAAATGCTATTTTCCTCCCTGGGGAAAACCCCAGCGCAGACCTCAGCCCCTCCCAGCTCAGCCCTGTCTTCCTGGCCAGCCCTCCTGTGTGACCATAGTCTGGGTCCAGCCTCACCCTGTGCCTGGGAGCAGGGCAGGTGAAAGATGGCTCCTCTGTGAGTGTTCCTTGGGAGGAGACAGAGGGGTGGATGAAAAGGGAGGGGAGAGTGTGGTCTGCCTTTTTCCTCCTGGAGTGTGGGGAGGGGTGGGAGCAGTGGAGTTGCGGGACCCAGCTGTCCGCAGCTGCCAAGAGGGAGCGATGCTCAAGCCCATTGCTCTGCCTGTTGTCTGGGACTCCAGACCCTACTTTCCCACAGAAACAAAGCTCAAGTGGGAGGCTGGCTCCCTGCCTGGCCCGAAGGAGCCAGATTCAGCTAATAGCAACACAGCCTCAGAAGACCCTGCACACTCTCTGCCACTGTCTGTGACTGGCAGGGGCGCTGGCAGGAGCTAGGAGACCAGAGATCTTGGGGCAGCTCCGCCAAGGGTGCTGGTGACCATGGAAACTGCTGCCCTGCAGAGGGCAGCTCTTACAGACAGGCGACAGTGCTGGGAAGCAGGGGCGTGTGTGTGTGTGTGTGTGTGTGTGTGTGTGTGTTTAGACGTTTCTAAGCACAGGACGCCCCTAAGCCATGGAGCATGGAGCAAGTGTCCTGGACTGGGTAGCCTCGGGCAGGTCCTGCCTGTCTCTGCCTCGGTTCCTTCATCTGGACATGGTAGTGGTAGAAAGTTTGGACTAGACTGGTAGTTTTCTAATGTTTTCTTTTTCTTTTTAACAGTTTCCATTTTTCAAGCAATCTTGGGTAAAATCCGCTCCAATTAAAATGTTGGCATGGCTGGTGAGGGGCTAGCTCCCCCAGAACCCCGCTGTTTCCCCTGCTCACCGTGCCAGCCTGCCCTGCCTGCTCCTTGGAACCCCGGGTCTCAGAGCATGTCTGAAGAGCCGCTGGACTGGATCATACACACAAATACACAGACGTACGCCCAGGCGGACACGCAGACATTCATACAGCACACACATGCATAGGCACACAGACACACAAATACACACAGAAACACATAGACTCACACGCACGCTGTCCCTCCAGCTCTAGCATAAGCCAAGAGTCACAGAGGGAGGGCAGGGGGTAACACTGTAACCCGGGCGGCGTCCCACTGGGGGTGCCAATCTCCTGCTCTGAGCTGTGAAGCGGTAACACTGGGGTTTGAGATGAAGATGTGCGAGATTCCATGAGTCTTTGGAAGCTGGGAGGCGCCCTACGAGTGGCAGCAATGTTGTGGTTGTAGACTTGTCTAGTCAGGCCTGAATCCAGACCAGGAAACACTAGTCCTCATGTGTCTAGCTCACATTCTGTGACATGCCAGGGCCCTGCAGGGTCAAAGACCAGAGGGTTCTCGGCAAGGGAAGTGTATGTGTGTGTGTGTGGGGGGGGGGCAGTGTCAAGCTGGGGGAGGAGGAAATGAGACAGAGGGATTGCAGAGGGGTTGGAGGGGCTCTGTGAGGGGACTCCAGGAAGCCCCCATGACTCCACATTGTGACAGCGACAGAGCAGCTTACCCCTTGGGCCCCAGCCTGGGTGAGGTAGGGGCCGGCGGCTGCCAAGGTAACCGTGCTTCGAACACAAAGCACTGAAGCAAGGAGGCCCCACCCGGAAAAACAACATCCTGGCTGTAGAGGGAGAAGCAGGGCTCGGTGGGAGGGACTATTTTTAGTTGCAAAGGCAGCCAGGGCAGGACTTGTATGGCCTGGCTGTCTGGCTGCATAACTCACCCATTGTCCCTCCTGACCTTGGCCAGGCGCTGAGAGGCCTCTGTCTGCCCCTGGCCTTCTCTGGGGTGCCCCTGGGCCACAAAGAACCAAAGGAGGAGGGCACTGGCCTGGAAACACACTCACCCTGTAGCCTCAGGGAGCAAGCCTTCCCCTTGAAAGCAGAATCGGGGCATCCCAGGCCAGGATGGGGGTTCTGGGGCAGCAGAGGGCACCTGGCCTTCCTGGGAAAGAAGCAGAGGCTCTGCTGGGGTGCAGGGCATGGCTGTCCCCAGCCTGGAAGCTGAACACTGTTCCAGCTGGGTGTGGACGTGAGCCAGATTCCAGAGAACATAGGTCCCTTTATAGTAGATTTTCTCGGCTCCAGTCACACCCTGGGGTCAATTCAGTCACATACTTCATGGGCTGAAAAGGTGTGTGTGTGAAAGAAACACTAGGTCTCAAACTTTCTTGCCCATGCCCAGGAGTCGTGCCCTGCTCTTGGGGGTGTGATGTCTGCACTTAATCCTGGGCACGAACACCCTAAGACAGGTCTAGAACTAGGCCGTGGCATCGAGGATGAAAATAGCTGATGGGAACCAGGCCATTCAAAGCAAACACTTGGGCAGCCAGAATAACTGTGGGGCTGGACCTCCACGGGAGGGGTCATCTCTAGCTGCCCCGGCTCAGAATCGGAATAGAGCCCAAATGGCAGGCACCCCGTTACAGCCAGGGCTCTCCCTCCCAACAGGAATCCTGGCATTAGGGCCTCTGTTCCCTTCTCCTGCCTTTTAAGAGCAGCTCTTGAAAGATAAGAAATACTGGGAATTCTTGGTGGGTGGAGGGGGGGGGGATAGAACAGGGAGCCATGCATTCAACACGTTTATTGAGCACCTACTATGTGCCAGGCACTGTCCTAGGAACTGGAAAAGGAGGGGTAGCCTGGATCTGTCCCAGCTGTGCTGCTCTCTCCCGAAACAGGGTCACTGGAAGGGGTCTGGGGAACCTCCTTCCTGGGAGGTGGAAGCATAGGGAAGGGAGACGCCTCTACAAATGAGATGGCAGGGGATGTGTGCGACTCCAAGGCTGGTGCCTTCTCTGGGGCAAGTGGGGGGCGCGGAGAGGCGGGCGTCCCACGAGCTGAGACAGCCGCCCCAGGCCCCCTGCATCACCTCCTCTTCAGCACAGAGATGCAGGACTTCTTGAGGGGCCCGATCTGCAGATGGGCGTCCACACTCTCCAGGAAGAAGGCAGGCTTTAGCCTGCTTGTGAAGAGCCCTGAAAAGTGGCTGTCCAGGCGACTCTGGAAGGGGTCAATGGGGGAGGCCGGGGGGCCGCTCCGGCGGGCCCGAGTGGCCTTCAGCCTCCGCAGAAGGGTCATCTTGCCATCCCGCACGGCATAGAAGGCCAGGGCTCGGTCGGCATATTCCAGGCAGATCCCGACCGTGGGCGAGAAGGCGTGAGGCAAGGGCGCTTCCAGCCCATGGAACCAGACGGAGAAGCTGCGTCCATTCCACTGCAGGCAGCAGGAGTGGGCATTGCGGCCAAGCCGGCCCCGGTCGTAGGGCTCTTGTGGGGAGAAGTCTTCAGCCATGACCCCCATGCTGACCCAGCCCTCGATGATCTCCACCTCCCAGTAGTAGGTGCCCCGGTCCAGGGCGCCCTCGCCCAGCACCTGCTCGCAGTGGGTGAAGCGGGTGGGCGACTCAGGGTAGTTGATGGGACACAGTACCCTCTTCACACCTTTGGTTCCAAACAGCTGCAGAAACTTGTCTGCCGTGTCGCTGTCCAGGTCCACAATGTAGGCAACTGCTCCCACAGACAGGGACAGAGACGTAGGGCTCAGGGCCAGGCTCAGACAGGGCGGCCCCTCCGCTTCGCGCCCACCTCCCTAAACGCAGCCTCTCCCAATCTTTGCAACTAGCAAGACTCAGCCCTGCCGGAGAGTTCCCGGTGAGCTGGCCTAGCTCACCCCATGAACAAGGGAGGGGGATCCAAGCGCTCGCGTGCCAGGGCCCAGCTCAGCAGCCATCGGAGGGCCCAGCATGAGCAGAGGGGAGAGCCCAGGTCTACTCACACTTGAGGAAGTAATCCCTGGGCGCCTCACTCTCCAGCTGGCCAGTGCTGTCAGGGTCCTGGGACTCAGCATCTGCTGCCAGAGAGAGAGTTGGGGACAGTGAGAGGGTGTCTCCCCAGCTATCTGGGGCTGGGCTGCTATGCAAGGTGCCCCCTGCAGCCGTGACCCCAGTTCCCCGCCCCTATCCCGCCCTGTTCCTCCCAGCATCCCAAGCTGCCTTGGGATAGGCACACATCCAAACATAGCGCCGTGTTCACATGCAGGCCTTGGGTTCTGCTCCCCGCTGCACTTGCCTCCTGGATCCCAGCCTCTTCGGAGCTAGGGGGTGGGCTAGGAGAAGCCCCCTCTGCCCTGTAGCCTATGGTCAAAGGTGCTGACCGGTCATTACTAGGTGGTGGCTCTGGCCGCTGGCAGGATTTGGGTCCCACCCTGCACCAGGCACAGTTTCCATTCTCCACTCGTGAATGGGCACCAGGCCTGGGGGCCTGTGAGGGAAGACTGGGGAAGGGTGAGTCACTTGGACGGGGCACCCACCTTCCGTGCTGAGCTTCTGCAGCCCGTCCTCATCACGGCTCAGCCCCCGCAGCTGCTCCCACTGGTTGGCGCAGGCTGCGGTCAGCACCTCTGTCACTGCCCTCACAGCTTGGGATGACTTAGTGAAGCTGAGCTCCCTCGGGGGACCAGGCCCAGGGCCGCACCCCTCCTCCAGGGCCAGCCTGAGTGCCAGGAGCTCCTGTGCCAGATAAATAAATGCCCATTAAGGCCCTGCTGGCCTTAGCTCCTCCCAGCGGGGGTGACACAGCTCTGCCAGGAACTCTCGCTTCCACTGCCTGCCCCCCCCACCC